CAGCCTGAACATTCACAATTTCACACAAGGAAAAGCATATTGCAAGGTCTAGAAATTCATGCATGACTGAGGGTTCCCCTGTGGGGGGGTACATTTGCTTAGTGGTACATGATGTGAGGCTCTTTCGGCTTGTTTCCCAGGTGGCTGGGCCCCAGGGCTGCATTCCTGTCCTAGGCCGTTCTAGTTTAGGCCCTGTTTCTGCCCTCTGGACAGAGTGTAGCCGCTGTGTGGGGTGTGCAAGAGGGGCTGTGGGGAATGAACCAGAAAAGTTATGGCTGGGTTGGAAGGTTCCTGGCTGCCTTGGGCAAGCTGGCTGCCTCCTTTGCAACATGGTGCTCTAAACTCTAAGCTTCCTCTTCAGCTCTGTGGCAGAGACGATATGGAGACAGATAAGGAAGCCAGTGCAAAAAAAAAAAAAAAAAAAAAAAAAAAGAAAGAAAGAAAGAAAGAAAGAAAGAAAAGAAAAGAAAAAGAAAGAAAATACTTTGGTGAAACCACAGAAATGGCTTGTCGTCTCCGATGGTGGAGGGGTAAGAGCTGAGGCTGACAGTCCCAATTGTGTACCAGGCACAGGGTGGACACTCAAACAGAGGAACTCCTTGAATACTCACAGCCTCCCAAGGACATCTGAGGGAGGGAACAGAGCCCTGGCGAGGGAAAGTAACTCAACTCCAAACTCAAGTCTGACTCATGGAGCATATTCTAATCATGAACAAAAATATACATTCAGTGAGAAAACTGACACAACCTAGTGAAACAGTGAGCATTTCCAGTGCAGAGTCCCTGACCCAGGCGTGACTCCAGCCTTCCTTCCTTCCTTGTAGGTATAAGCTATTCTTTTTTTCAGAGCTTGCCGCTGAACCCAGAGCCCCCATGCATGCCAAGTTCTGCTACTAAGCTACACCTCCACCCGAGAGAATCTTCTGTGCAATAAAAATGGGTTCCTCCTGCACCACCTTGCAGCACACTGTCATCAGAGGGAGAATGTGGGCAGTGCCATCAACATCATATGGGAGTATCTCGGAAGTCAAGGGTCGTAGCCCAAAGTGACTAAAAGAGAATCCTTGTTCGCCAGGCTCTTGGATGATGAAACTCATGTTCAGAAGCGCCGTTGATGCCTCCTTGCAATTTGCTGTGGGCATTCTCCCACATCCATAACATGATTTTTAACTGACTGGGTCTTGAGTCTCTCTCTGTTTCGCATTAATGAGTCCCTTTGATATTCCCTTGATTTATCTCTTTAGGACAAATGCCCCAGAAGAGAAATGGCTAACACAGCAAGATGAGGTCTAAAAGGCTTTTGCTACAGTCTGTCTGATTGCCAGCCCCAAAGTGGTGGAACTTGACCAATCCCTCGAGCTCTTGACCAGCGTTTCTTAGCAGGTAGCTGCCATCATAGGATAGGCGCACACTTGGGTGATGTGTAAACTTTGATTTGAGCATCAGATTTTCAGTTACTGGCTCAGTGATCTTGGACTAGTTGTCCAACCGCAAAGACCCTGTATCCTCTTCTTGTAACACTGAGTGAGCCAAACCTTCAAACCCCTGGTGGGTGTGAGCGTTAGATGAGAGGGAATAGAAACTATCCAGGACCTGCTTCATTTGTGATAATCCTTTTGAGTAAATGCATTCCAGGGAGCCTAGGATGTTACTATGGTTTGAATGTCCTCACCAAAATTCAAGTTGAAATTTAATCTCCATTGTGAGGCATTAAAAGATGAGTGGGCTGGGGAACTGGCTTAGTAGATAAAGCACTTGACTCAAAAACATGAAGATTGGAGCTTGGGACCCTGGAAACCCATGCAAGTGCCAGGTAGGTATGGCAGCCTGCCTGTAACCCAGCACTGGAGACAGAGAAGGGGGAATCCTTGAGCTGTATTTGCAAGCTCTGGGTTCGAATGAGAGACCCTTTCTCAGTATCCATGTATGCACATTCATGACACCATGACCCCCACACCCATGCATGCACATACACATGCCTGTACATGTAAACATGCAGACACAGAGACACTTACAAAATGAAAGACACAGAGAAAAAGATGAGCAAGCAAAGTCTTTAAGAATGAACTGACCTATCCATGGTTTTGTGGGCTACTTCCAGTGGGCCTATTATAAAAGCCCGTTTGACAGGTGTGGTGGTGCACACTTTTAATCCCACTGCTCTGAAGGCAGAGGTAGGCAAATCTCTAAGAGTTCTAGGACAGCCTGGTCTACAGAGCAAGTTCCAGGACAGCTAGGGCTACACAGAGAAACCCTGTCTCAAAATAAATACATAAATAAACAAACAAACAAATGCCAACTTGGCTCTGTCTCGTGTGTGTTCCTCTCTCAAGGTGGTATCCTAGGCTGTTCAAGATTCTTTAGAGTCGCTACCAACACCAGCCCCCCCCAACCTTGAACCTCCCAGAAGAGCTCTGAGCTAAATAAACCTTCATTCTTTATAAATTATCTACTATGTAGTATTATTCAGTTTTAGAAAGAGAAAGTGGACCAAGACAGAGGTCCTATTCATGAAAACATTAGATACTTTTACATAAAAGATTTTGTGTTGTAGTTTATAAACTGCATTATAAAAGATACACACGGGTACTACTAGTCCCCATCCCAGAGAAACATGGCTTAGACGTTGGAGCAAAAAAAGAAAAGAGTAATTCTTGGATCCTTTGGCTAAAAATGAGCAGCCGTGTAAAATGTGTGCACTGTGCCACGGAGAGCATGCTGGGAGGTGGAGACGTGTGTGGAGGCCGTGAGGGCTGCGTCAGGACCTGCCTCTCATCTGCCTGCCTGCTCTTCGGGGAAGCTTGATGCTTGGACATGCAGAGGTGCAGCCACAAGATGCCACACAGCCTCTCCTGGGCCATTCTGCGCTGAGCACCGTTCCGGATGCTGGGCCGTGGCAGTGATAAAGCACTTTGAGGGTGCCTGAGAGAGGGCAGGTCACACCTAGAGACACCGTGGCCACGAACTCTTCCAAGTGAAAACATTTCGTTGGGGTGGCTCCCTTGCAGTTTCAGAGGTCCAGTTCACGGCAGGAGAGTGGCGGCACGCAGGCAGCGAGAGTCCTTAGCGTCTTGACTCAGAGGCAACAGAAGGTCTGCTGGCTGTCACACTGAGGGAAGCTTTATCGACAGAGACCTCAAAGCCCATCCCCACAGGGACAGGCTTTCTCCAGCAAGGCCACACCTCCTAATGGTGACACTCTATTTGAGGGACATTTTCTTTCAGGCCACCATGTGACCCCTAAACTCAATCTGTCTGGCTCTCCAGGCTGGAATTACCAAGGTCGCTGTCCTGTGGTTTGGCCTCCTTTGCTGCTAACTCTTACTGCTCCTTAGGAGCGGCAGTCACCTGTCACCCTGCTGCAGGGGCTCCCAAGTTGCTTCCCAGGACACAGGGGACTGTCAGCTTGTCCTTCTCCCTACAAGAGGACAGGATAGGTGGCAGCAGGGACCTGCAGACTGTAACCAGCGTCCCCCCATGGAGAGAAGAGGGGTATAGATGATCTCCAGAACCCTTGGTGTCCACTGTTTTTTCTCATCGTTAACTATTCTTGTCACGGTTTTCTCTTTAGATTGTAAACTTCTGGGCCAGGGCTCTGTACAGAGCAATTTTGGAAAGCAGAAGAAGGACGTTTTTAGAGCCACCCTCAGAAGTCACAGTGTTGCCTGGATTTTAATAATACAGAGTCACACCCCACGCTCATTAGTTGCCTAGCACCTCCTGTCAACACTGGAGATGTTGCTTAGGAACTGCCGACTGTAGCAGCCCCTGGCAGTCTGTCTCTGCTGAACTTGAGTCAGGTGGCCTTGCCCGGCTGGTTGCTGGAGTCTATTATTTTGAAGGGACAGCTGCAGGTAGGCAGAAGAGGATGTCACTAAGTTCTTGGCTTTGTCCCAGAGAGAGGCAGAGATCCCAGCCAGAGAGGCTGGCACTGGTGACTTCTTGGGTGGGCGTGGCCTTGCACCTGCCAGGTGCGCTCTGCAGCTTAGCAGGGGGGAAATGCTTTCAGAGACACAAGAAACGTAGTTAGCCTGTACACAGCTACAAGCATCGTTTGGGAAGCCCCCGGAAAAGCTGTCCGAAAATGTGTAGGGTCCAAGATATCATGATAAGCTTCTAGGGGAAGCTGGGGAGAAGCATGCAGGGGTGGAGATGAGCATGTCCCCGCCCCATACCACCGCCCCTGGCTCTGCAGAATGGACCTGATGGGGGCAGGAAGGGCTGTGCGGCTCAGGGGTAGGAATGGGAGTGGTTCAGTTCCGAATATGTTTTAGATTTTCTCCACATTTGATCTCTTTTCTTCCCAGGATCTGACCTTCCTCATGTGGAGAGTTGTTAGGGTTAGAGCCTGGGCCATTAGCCCTGACAGGCTGAGCTGGGACACCCTGTCCTCAGTCAGCCAACTGAAGAACTGAATTAATGAAGAAAACAGAGAAAGGAGTGTATTCCTTGTGGCCATGCTGGGAAGAACACAGAGATCCAGTCATCTAGCTCCTCCCAGCGCCCCTCCTCAGGGTCCTGATAGGAGATTTAGGTTTAAACAGAGGCCCAGGGGTATGCATAGAACTAAGCAGTCCTGACCAGGGTGTGGTCCTGCCCATCACTGAGCTGTCCTTGTCTGGGCTTCATTCTCTCCTGCGAGGTGATCTGAGTTGGCAGAACTGTGAAATCCCTTCCTGGGAGACAAATTCCTTCTCTGGCTGGCACAGGCTCCATTCAGCCTTCTCCTTCCCTCAGCGTGGGACTCCCGGAGGAATTCCGGTTTCCTGGGGCTAGCCAAGGGGAGGAGCCAAGTGCCTGTTTGGACCGTCTTCATTCCTGTCGGAGGTTACAGTCCTGACCTCAGCCTCCTCGGCCTCGTCCCTGGGGAGCACAGTGAGACAATGCCCCGAGTTTGTTGTGCTCTGCCCTCTGCGGTGCAGAAGTGACTCCCGTCACAGTGAGGCAGGTGACAACCACTCCAGACCAACTCCCCAAGGAGTCAGGCCACCCCCACTCCTGGCCCTCGGGAGAAGGAAGTGCTTGTGCCTTTCAGAAAGCTGGAACTGCCCTGAGCCTGCACACCTGCCCAAGGAGCTCCGGAGAGCGCCGGGCGGGCGCCGTAGTTGGCAGAAACCCCACTTCCTCATGGCTCAGAGGAGTTGCTGGGGGAACAGGGACAAGAACTTGTGCCCAGTGCCCCGTGGTGTTCTGAGAGCCCTGAGCCCCTCGCGGGTGGGCAGGGAGGCGCACTCTTCTCCCTGCTGCTAGTTTCCAGAAGGATGAGAGAGCCAGAGGCTCGCTGCACGCTCAGGAAGATGGCTGCCTTTTACCAATGCGTCAGGCCTGACCCCAGGTGCGCCCCTGAGAGCAGGGGGGTGAGGTGGGGTGAGTCCAGGGAGGCCGGCCACTTGGTCATTGCCAGGGCCCGGGTCCTTACCGCCCTTGAGGCTGAGGCCAGTCCCTCAGTCCCTAGTGTCTTATGTTCTAGAATATCTGTGATCCCTCCCCCTCCCCCTTCTTGTGAACTTTATCCTGTCTTCTCCCGTTGTGTGGATTTTGGAGCCAAATGATAATTTTCCTTTCACACACATTCAGATACAAGAGAAAAAGGAAGGAAGGAAAGGGGAAGAAGGGAGGAGGAGAGACATAGAAGACTAGGTAAACAGAGTGCACCGTGTTTTAATGTTTCATCCTTGTACCTTGGGTCTACAAGGCATAACTGATGTCCCTGGAGTGCAGGGACCGATGCAGAGGTCAAGATGGAAGGACATCACAGTTGTTATTAAAGCTCGGCTTTAAAGGGCTGGCTCCCAGCTGACAGACACATCCATGGATGACACCCTGCCTGCGCTCCTGTGCACATAGCCAACCCCTCCAGCCCACGAACCTCATCCCTCACAGGTGTTTGGCTCTTGGCTCTCAGCGCCTTGCAATTCTGTGCACTGGGTACAAAGGGAAGCGTATCTATAGCTGGTTCAAATTCACTTGCTTAGCATAAGGACACTGTATGTCTCATACCCCAGTTGGAAAATTCCTGGTATGGCCACCTCCATCATGTCCTGGAGACCGTGCGTCTGCCGTCCCTCTGGCTGGATGGGCGGTCTTGAGAAGTTGATTTTTCGAAGGGACCCACTTGCCATCCTGGCAGTAGATATCGCTTGAGGATTTTAGTCAGATAGTCCATCCCATAAGCCTCATTGTTTTTTTCCTATTGTTACATAGGAATAATGACCCAACAACTCAAGGACTCCTTATGAATGCTGTCTTATATGCACACGGCTTTCCCTAGTATAAGCTGTCATCTTTGCTACTGTTCCATAAGGAGTTTACTGACAGTTGCTTAACCTTTGTGTCTGATGCTGCTTGTTTCAAATGGTCCAGGGTAGCATAGTGTCTTGTCTGTTAATAGGCTTTGGGTCATGTTTTCCTACATAATTCCCCTCAGATGTACATCTGCTGAACTGCAGGGACACCAGTCATATATGTCATATTCTGGAAAACACAAGCATTAATTTCAGCGGATGTGTGACTAAGCAGTGTATTACCTTAATACACTCAGAAAGTTGAAAACAAGCCAGCTTGTGAAAATGTTGCTTGTGCCCAGATTCCAGGGCCCTGTCTGTCATTCTTGTGTTCAGCAGTTAGCTTCTGGTACGGCTCACATCTGGAGACTGGACATTGTCAAGTTAAAGGTATCTTTTCAAGACACACCCCAGCATTAGCATGGATTTATATTATATTTCCCCAAGAATTATGCAAATATAGTTTCTAAAATAAGGTTGTAAAGTTTGAAGCTCCTTGCTTAGCTATTTTTTAAGAAATGATTTGGTCAGACATCTGAAATATGTGTATATATATTTTTTTTTCTATGCTAACAACCTGAAAATGTCTAAACTAATGTTTCACGCCTGGTCTTGTGAAAGCTGCTGTACATTGTCATCTAAAAAGTGAATTTCACTCCAGTGTGTTTGTGTGGTAGAGGTTGCTGGTAAACGTAGACACCTGTGTATATGAGCGTGTGCTAGACTAGTCATGTGGATTCCACGAAGGAACTTAATTCGCCTGTGTATAGGGTCTCTGAATACCACCAAATCAACTGTTATGCAATTTTCAGAAAGCGGTAGTCTTGTCTTACATAAGATCCTATCTGTGCACTCGCAAACGATGCTGTTAATTTTGTGAGTGGCTCCTTGTCGTGTGTTTTCTCAGCAAAGAAACCCTCCCAAGAGTTGTGGCCTGACGCCTCATGCGGTCTTCCCTCCTGTGCTGTCCCTGCCCTGACCACAGCGGAAAGGAAGCCTAGGGAGAGGCAAAGCCCCTTACCCAGGCCCTGTTCTGCCCCATATTTCTTCACTCTCTCCCAGCAGTGCCTCAGAGCCACCAGGCTTCGGCTCCGTGTGACTCTAGTGTGAGGGAAAACCTCTCAGGCTAGTGAGCTAACTGTGGCATGGTCAAGCAGAGTCCCAGATTTCAAAGTCTGTCCCTCAAATCCGGGAACGCTAGGTGATCTTGGCAGTGGAATTGTGAGTGGGGTGTGCCTGCCATCTCATTTTTAATAGGAAGTTTAATAAGAATTTCTCTAGTGAATGTTACTAAGAAGTGGTTTGTTTGTTCGTTCATTCGTTCATTCGTTCGTTCATTCATTCATTAATTCATTCAACAGTGTTTATAAATGCCCTTGGGTTGCGATGGTGCCCTGCTAGTACCTAACTTAGTTTTTTTTTTCATAGTCACTTTCAAATTTACATACTTAGCAAGAAAGCTTGTATTTCCAGGCCAAGCTTTCTTATTTATTTAAGATGGGAGCTAATTAGAAGATATTAGGAAGCTTCAACACTGACAAGCCATCCAGTTCCTTTACTTCCCTTCTCTGCTCAGTGCTGGCTCTCCCGGCAGCAGCTGGGGGTCCACCCCACTTGAGCCCCTTGCTTAGGACCCCCTGTCCGTGTATGTCTGTCACCGCCTTCAATTCCTGACACACGCATAGAGGAAGGGTCACAAGCATCCGGGTACATGCTTCAGAACAGACAGGCGTCTGTCACTGTCAGAGAGAGATGTAGACTGTCCTGACATCCAGTCTGTGTCGCTCCCTCTGTTCGGTGGGTACAGCCGTCCAGCTCCTCTGTCCCTGAGGATAACAATATCATTAACCAGCAAGCTGGTGCTGTTTCTCGGCAGAGAGTTCTCACAAGAACTTTGTGAGAATTGCACATCCCGTTTGCCTCAATGATGTGAAACTTATTTTTCTAAAAAAGGGAGAAGGCAGATCCTCGCGTGACTCACCAGAGAACAATAGTTTAAGTCATAATTTATTTTTGTCTTTTCCTTTCCCCCAAGAGAAGGGGAGATGGGTTAAGTGTACTGGCTAGGGAGCAGGTGTACAGCTGCAAGCAGGCACCAGGTCAGATAATCACACAAGCGCACGAGTATCCAACAGCTCTGCCCCTTGAGTGGAAAGGGGCGGGGGCTCTTGTAGTCTGTTGAAGGAGCTGCTGGTTCACCCTGAGGAACCCATGAGCCTTCCATGGCCGTCGAAGCTGAAGTCTGAAGGATGGGGCGGGTCAGTGAGAACACCATGAGGCTGGAGCAGGGAACCTGGTGTCCCTTCAGAGGGGACAATGTCTGTAAAGATGCTGACATAGAAGGACATGGGTGTCTGGAATGGGGAAAGCAGGATTGAGGTGTGGACTTATGCCGCTTGGGGGGGGGGCTCTGATTGGAATCCAGCCTGCCACCTCCTGATGATGTGTGGGTCTCCCCACGTTTATACTGCTTGTGCGTTTGGGGGGCTCTGATTGGAATCCAGCCTGCCACCTCCTGATGATGTGTGGGTCTCCCCACGTTTATTCTGCTTTCTGTTCTTGACTTCATCTCACATGGGGTCATCTTTCCTCTGGCAGCTCTCTTTAAGATTGTGTGTGTGAGTGTGAGTACATGTGTGTAAGTGTGCGTGTTTATGTGTGAGTGAATGCGTCTGTGAGAGTGTGTATGCGTATGTGGTTTATGCATGTTTGTGCAGTGCCGTTAGAGACCAGAAGGGTGTCAGATTCCCTGGGACTGGAGTCCCAGGCAGTTGTAAGTTGTCTGATAGGGTACTGACCACCTAACTCAAAAGAGCAGGGAGCATTCCTAATCACTGAACCATCTCTCCAGTCCCATCTAGTACTTGTTTTAGCATGAGTTTGTTGGAGACAAATTGTATCAGATTCTCTTTCCGAAAAATGCCTTTCCTCCATCCTTGTCCCCCTCTGGCAACATAATACACATACATACCATAATGTCAGCCTTTGTACACAATGCAGTCAGTGGGCTTTAACAGTTGTGCTTATGGGAACATGATCTGACTATGGAACATTTTAAACTCCCACCCATTAGCAGTGACTTACCCCTTCTTACCATAGTCCTCTCCTCACTGTGGGCAGTCCTTGATCTACTTTGTGTTTCTGTGTGATCTTTCACAACAGTTAAAGCAATGCTTGTGATATAGGCTTATAGCTAGCTTGAAGAGGATTTAATAGTGTCCTAATAATACGTCATTCCTGTTCTCCTGCCACAAGGGAAAGGTGGTCTCTCTCATCTGCCTTAATGTCTTTCTTGCTGATCTTAAGACATTTTTCTCTTTGTCTACCAATAGTTTCATTATAATGTGTGTTATGTTTTTGGACTGAATTCAGCCTACTTGGATTTAACTCAACTTCTAAGATGTTTGTATTTATTTCTTTCATCAAACTTGGGGAGTTTTCACCAAATCTTCCGTACTACATTGATTTTAATTCCATTGACTTTCTTTCTCTTTAGATTCACTAACATACATTGGCCTCATTTCAAGCTTGTTGATTCTTCTACCTGCTCAATTCTGCCTTTGGAGCCTTCTAATCAGTTTTTCACTTTATTCTCATTTCCAGGATTTCTTTTTTGTCTTCCTTCTCAGGTTGTCTGTTGACATTTCAATATTGTGCACACATTGTTTTCTTGATATTATCCACATCTTCCGTTAGCTTTTTGAGCCTCGTTAAGACAATTGTTTAAAGTCTTTGTCTTAGAGTAGCCACTAAGATCGTTTTCAGAGGTATTTTAAGTTGGTTTATTTTAATCCTTTAAATGAGCGTTATTTTTCTGTTCCTTTGTGTATCCTCTGATCTTGTTGTTGGGGACAAGTGGACAGTACAGGCTTATAATGTGGTAATTGCAGAACTCAGATTCTCTTTCCTCCAGGTTTGCCTTTTTGTTGTTGTTGTTTGTTTGTTTTTTATTTTGTTTTGTTTTGCTACTATTTGTCATCTAATTGATTGCTGGAGGCTGCACCTTTCCCTGGGTATCACAGTGACTAATTTCACTGACGTGTGTGGATGG